TAATAGGAAAATTAAAAGATTTCGATCGGTTTTATCATTTTTAATAATGCGTATTACCGCCTTTATTTTTAATTACAGCTTTCAATCGGTTTTTCAGAGACTTGACACACTTTTTTAGATAATTTTGTGTAATAGACGACCAAACAATTGTCAACAAAAAATTATGCTTAAAATTAAGGGTGGCCCGATTTTATTGCACGCCAGTGTATTTGGAAAATGCACGATAAAAGAAGGAGGAAAAAAAAACTAAATACATTCGATGCCCCAAGCGTTAAAATGCACCAATTAAAAGGAGAATTTAATGAAAAACGTTTGTATGGGCTCGTACAAGCATATCCCTCTTCAGTTTCCTGGGCCGTCGGTGCAATTAACGGGTTATGTGGTTATAGTGTAATCTATATATTTTCTATGGAAAAACAAACTGGGGATATTAAGAAAAATGTATAGATAATACAACACATTTTTAAATTACAAAAATAAAAAAAGATAAGATGAATATGACACAGGCTAGCTCTTTGGGAAGAAAATGCATGTCTATACATATAATAAAATTGTAACTAAGCCGAATCTGTACATTGAATATTTTTTGCAAAATCTTATTGAAATAAACATTATTATCGATACAGAGTCCGAATCTATAGTTTTTAGAATTTTTGTCTGTCTGTTACCGCATCACAGAAAAACCACTGAAGGAATTTTGATGAAATTTGGTAGGTATGGTGATAGCTGGTTATTCGGGTCAACATATAGGATACTTTTTACTCCGGGAAAATGTATCATTTCTGAAAAAAAAATACAAAAACTGCAATATAAGAGTATACTAATATGTAAAACCTAAGAATTTGGTTTTTGGTCATCTGAACGCGGGCGGAGGCGCTCGCAATGCTAGTATTAAATATAAATTAAAACAACATTATTTGAAAAAACTTACGATTGTTTTAAACGTTTGCTCACTACGGTGATGTATATGTATAATGGAACAACTATTATGAACGCGAAAGTTTGTATGTGTGTATAATATTTTATTTCTTCATGTTAATACGGCTGGATGATCATCATGGATCATAGTTTCATCATCATCATGGTTTTACATAAAGTGCCATTAATTCATTTCAAATTTAATAAGTATGTAGGTACATATCTATGACATACATATATTCTACATATAAGTTAGTGCACAATTGAATCTAGTATCTATATATTTGTATCAGCATGACACTTTTATTCTGGTCGAGTTATTCAATTTAGCTTCTACTGAGAATAGCTTTATTCGTAGCGTTATTCTCTTTTCTGTCGCTGTCACCAAGCAAGTGTTTCTATCTTTTAATTTATTTATAAAAGTGCAATATTTCTTTTTTTCTTTGGAGGAACGTAATCTTTATTCACCTTCACAATTTATTTTATTGAACTAACAGTAAAATATGTATGTTACTTCGAAATTGTTTCATATTTAAAAGTTTGATTCTTCCGCTTCTATTTAATTATATAGAGCTCCAGTATTTTGTATAAAACCAAAAATTATATAAACAAAAAAAAACAGCAATTAATAAATATAACTAGTAGATTTACTGTTGATGGATAACACTTGATATGGGTTTAATTATCTTCAACACTAGACACGCAAGCTATTGACTGTGGCACAACATAAACTTCAGGGTTTTAACGACATGTTTTTAAAAATTAATTAAATTTTGGTCCCTTTCAAATCACTTTCATAAGAATATTATTTTCGAGGCATAATTAATACAAAATCGTTATTATAGAATAGTTAAAAATTATCTTTTAATTCTCTCAAAGCGTGTTACGCATTAAAAACACGTAATTAAAGGGTGGTTGACTACATCTACATCAATAGAGTACGATTTAACCACTTACTTATCGCTTTATAGGAAATAACGTTCCTGACGGAAAATTTTAACGAGCGCTGACATCTAAAGATAGCTGAGAGTAACCAAAATTGAAGTGTATATACCTCATTAAAAGTAAATGAAAATATGAGATATTAGATGTTAAGTAGAGTCGGTCGTCGCAGAATTTAAAATATATGGAATGAAAGATAATTAACATTAATTATATTACAAAAAAAAAACATTTTATATTTTATATATTCTTAGATGACATAAATTAATCTACGTATTGCGTAAAGATTGATGTATTGGCCTTAAATAACAATGTGCTTAAACTCACAGAAACATGTGTTGAGGTATGCATCGATATGAGCTCTATGCAAAATGCTAACACCTTCGAGTACTTCGCTTTGCATCAAAACAATAATAATCATCCACTTATATGACGTTTGAGTACAAAATTTCTGTCGATGTTCATTATAATCTGTTACTGATGTATTGATGATCGTTAAAAAAAACAATATCATATGGATACAATCGCAAGGGAAAGCATTTAGCTAATTTGTATTTTTATTTAATGTAAACTATGTAAAGAATTTCGAACATTTTATATGCAGTTTACTTAGAACTATTACTGAAATAAAAAGTTTGATTAAATATTTATAGTACGATCTCGACAGGCAGAAACACTGATCAATCAATACAAATAATAAGAGCGAATTATTAATATTTAAATAGTTATTAGACTTAATTTCAATAGCAATTATAATTAGGTATCGCTCATAATCGATACTTCCATACTAATATTATTAATGAGAAAGTGTGTTTGTTTGTTTGTTTGTGTTTCTTTCACGTCAGAGGGGAGTGATAGTTTGCCGTACTTTTTTGTGTGGATGATAGTTGGAGGGCTGGAGAGTGATATAGGGTACTTTTTACCGCGGGAGTTTGTCTCATTTCCACGGGAAAACACTATTTATGATCAGAATTACTCGAAGCTTGGCATTAATGCACTACACATTAACGAATTTCTCTAATTCATTCATGGCACTACAATACAATTAAATAAATACGTGTTTCAGCATTTTTCGAAATTCATCCCATAAAAATAGGAGATGGAAGTTTGTATGAAACCAATCTTTTTAGAGTTATTCTTGTAGTATATCGCGAGCGAAGCCGCGGGTTCTGCTAGTATTATTATAAACATGTCCTAAATTGTCTTTTATAGCCATTGAATACTAAATTACAGTTTAGTTAGTTTCATTTTATTTATTTATATTCAAATCAAGTATTTGAATTTATAGATACAGCAATTTAGGATCATATATCAATATTCATATATGAAAATACGCAGTGAATTAGCGAACACAAATATATGTATGCACATAACATGTGTGTAAATATATTCTATACTTTGTTGAATGTTTACCGGATGAAATCTATTTCCGAATAAAGGAGGTATTCTAGCTATAGTACTGCAATATCAACGAACGCGAAATAAACCTATTATACTATTATTATATTATAAACCTATATATTTCATTATATTTATGAACATAAACCAATAAACGCAATATTTTACTATAAAACTTCACCGATAGTACCGAGTACTTACACCTTTTTATTGCATTAAATTACTCAAAAATCATGGAATTATTTTAACGCACTCAAAATATATTTGTCGTAAACAAATATTTATCAGACGAATTTTAAGTCGACGATTGACGAAAATACGTCCGAATATTGGACGAATAAATATAAAGTACCTAGGCTACTGAGCTTCGCTCGGTGTTTTTGGCCTAAAGTACAATTTTGATTTTGTTTAAAAAAAAATTGAATAATATTAAAAAACACAACCGTAAAAACTTTATATGCGACCGAGATTAAAACCTGGACACCTGTGATTTTTGATCTTGCACCTCGGCAGCTTGACCACGATGCTTATGTCCTAGTGTGCTAATTTACCGACCATATTTTGCGTGGAATAATGCAAAAGAAAACTGCATGAAAATTCTAAAGCACGCGTTTTCTCAGACATAGAACTAATCTAGATCGATTTACCGCCCTCGAAACCCGTATACTAAATTTCATGAAAATCATTGGAGCCGTTTCCGAGATTCAGATTATATATATATATATATATATATATATATATATATGTATGTATGTATATATACACAAGAATTGCTCGTTTATAGATATAAGATTAAGGATACATGCATAACGAATAGAAAATTTATTTTTTTTACGTTTAGGAACATTCAGATAAACAAAATCTTGATGTACATTTTGCTCAGAAATATTTTCTAATAAATAACATTTACTTTTATTTAAAATAGGTTTAAATTGAAGCACCTCTTACTAATAAAGAAACTTTGTCCTATAATGTTATTCAAGAGAACTCTATTGCTTATTGCATGTGCACATTTTAAAATGAGATAATCGTATTCCGTGTACAAAATTGGTTAGTTGTGTTCACCCTCGGTTTTCCAGAATATCTTTTCTCCACGCAAGATACTCAATTTCAGTAGTTCATATAACTTCAGTGTTTTCATAGAGGTTGTGTTTTTGTTTATGGCATTGATAAGTCAAAGACTGAAATATTTCAACCATTTGTCTTGCATTCTATCCAAAAAAATTTAATGTCATATCTTCAATAGTGCATAAAATATTAATTGTAGAAACCATAGTATGGTTAAATAATACTAGCAAATCACATATTAATTTTCCTTCTACATATACATACCTACTGGACCTACTCCAAATTAAAATTATAGATTCTTTCATGTAAATAAATAACGGATGTCCGACGTTCATATTTTTAAACTAGTTCTATCAATTTTTCAGCTCAGTAATATGCAGAGTAACTTGTTTAGCAGAGGAAACTCAATTATACCAAGCCATCATGTAAAAGTTCTCCCTTTACTGTGTCCGATACACGCTATTCCTTATTATTTTTTTATAAACATGTTACGCTAATTATTTCTGCTGCATATGAGATTCTAGCGTAGATGGGAAAACTGTACAAATTTTTAAGCGCTAGTAAATAATGTAATTTAGAATGTAATGATAAGTGATCTTTTGACTTTTTGACTTTACTTGTACACTTTAGTTTTATGGGTACTCATATTAAAAGATACTTTTATGTTGTTTCAGATTTGTTATACTTAAATATGTGAGACGAGATTTGATCAGCAGTCTGCCGCTTCCCAGGCGACTTCTCGATTACCTGAGCGCCACCCACTACTACTCAGAGCTTTTGGCGGAAATATAAAATGTTCACCCCATTTGTACTTTCAAAGTATATTGTATTGGCTTATACAGAGACACGTTTTAAACTTGAAATCCGTTGTAAGCGATTTGATTGTATGTTTAATTAGAAATACTATTTCGTCTATTTTTCTTCTCTTTCCTTTTTGTAAGCAATGTATGTAAAAGAAAAACTTTTTTATTTGTAATTGATGTGACGACTAAAGAAGTTTTAGACTTGACAATTTTTCAAACGAATGATGATTACATTTTAAAGTTTAAAATGTCTCTGAACACAGTTTCATTTTCGTATTTATAAACATCGAAATAGTTTTGAATCAACTTACCATGGAATTAAATGATTCATTTATAATGGCCAAAAAAATGAGGCATTGTCGACTTCATAGTAAATACGAGTATGTCTGTGAATACGAGTCTTAGTTCAAGATTCCTTGCTTTCATGATACGTCCAATATATTTTCTTTATTGCAACTTAGCGCCTATTACGTTGTAATGTATGTAGGGAACGTATTTATTGAACGGTGTAAGATGGTTTGACCTCATTCTAGAACACTAATTTAGCACCATGAGTTTTCTAACAGACGGAATACGAAATTTCTTAACAATTACATTACTTGTTTAATTGGTGTATCATGTTGTTTAAAGGAATTTTTAATGTTTGGAAATTTTGTATTTTGTCTTTAAAGTCTATCTTTTTAATTTAAATCTTATACTAAATCCAGGCTGTGTGGACTGAGCAGTATTATATTGTTAACGATATCGATAAATCTTGACTTTGAGCAATATTAATTATACATGTATTATCTTTTACTCTATATCATTATTAATGTTCAATAATTAATTATTATTATGAATTTTTACTTTATTATTTCAATTATTTTTTTATTTTATTGTAAATATATTTATAATTGCTTTATTATCTACTTATACAATTCCTATAAAATCTACTATTATTCAAATAATTTTATACAATATTGACATTAGAGATTTTACCATTATGATCTTTATAATATGAAATGTTTTGAAAATAGTAATTGAGACTTTCCTCCGGTCATACTCTTATTTCAATAAAAAATATAGTTTTACCGGTTTCATTTTAAAATACCGAAGAAAACGAAGTTTTTTCTTTTTTAATTTCGTAGAAACAAAATGAAATGTGATAATACAATACTTAATAGACGAAAAACCATAAATGTAAAAAATACCACAAAGTTTTTGGCTTATTATATCTTTATTTTTTTTAAGTTATATCTGAAATAGTACATTTTAGAATCATTCAGCAATTACAAATAGGCGTATGAAAGTTAATAGGAGACAGTTGCCGCCCTGTACTAAATGATTAAAATTTTATTCTGTTACACGAACACCTATGTAACTATATATTATATATCATTTTTAATAATTATCTCTTTTTTTCTTCTTCTATATTCGAAACAAAAAAGAACTGCCCAAAATCATTGCCACATAGCCGATGACTTAGTGATCAGTCAATGAATTGTTACAGTTCAAAGTCAAAAGAGCGTCTTTCATCGAATTGCATCGAACTGTACGGTAGGAATTTATTATTTACAACCTAAATAATTTCAGCTACTTGTCAGCTAGCAACTTACGTCTGATATTTATATTTTAATGGGTGAGTTTGTAAACTTTGACGTTTCAAAAAAATTACCTATTGTGTGTACATATGTGATTTACCAAAAATACGTCTGTTTGTAACTTGTTGTGTTAGCAAATGTTATTTTTAAATAATATATGATTAGCAGTAAATTAAAACCCCCATATATTTACTGTTGTAATAGTTTTTAATGCTTTCTTTATAATAAAGACACAATTTTTTATTTATATTTTGACGGATTGAAGCGCACTGTATTGTTACGGTTACTAGATTATGTTCGATCTATTTTGACTTTTAATAAGTGTAAATAGTTTATATTTATAATTGTAAATTATTATAATTTTAATTATTTATAATTGTGAATTGTATTGAATTGAAAAATATGACGGAAAAGGTTGTTTGATGTAATTATATAGTGAGCGTTTTTATTCTTATTTCACACATTTAGTCCTGGTATGTGTTACGAGTATGTCTTAAATATTATATTATTTTAGATCACATAACCGTAGTGTCAAACCAACCTTCTATTCTTCCTCTGTTATGATTCCACCAAAGATTACTGTCGTATATTATTTATAATAAATTATTGTATATTTAATAAATATAAATGTTTGTAAGAAACGAGATTACCTACATAATGACAACTTTATTCGAAGTTCTGATATAACAAAGTGAAAAAATTAAAACCCACTTTTATCCCACTCTTAATGATCCACTTTCGGGATTACTAGACCGGGTCGTGTAATCTTTGTGTGAGTAATATATATTAGATATTCAAACATAATATGGGGCGACTTTTCCATAATTGCATTACGTTGAAAATATGATGTTAATATTAAATTCGTAAAATCGTATGTAACGCTCAGTTGGTCTCATATTATTTAGACTCACGGTATGCAAGGAAGTTTGTTGTCCGACTTCTTCTTATCTCGAAAACTATCGGTACGTACTTGGAAACTTACTCTGTGCTCTGAACGGTCCGCCTTTAACTAGTAGCAATAGAACTCCACATCTATACATATAATAAAATTGTAAATAAGCCGAATCTGTACATTAAATATTTTTTGGAAAATCTCATTGAAATAGACATTATTATCGATACAGGGGCCGAATTTATAGTTTTTAGAATTTTTGTCTGTCTGTTTGTTACCGCATCACAGAAAACCACAACCAAACCACCGGAGGGATTTTGATGAAATTTGGTATGGTGATAGCTGGTTGTCCGGGTCAACATATAGGATACTTTTTACCGCGGGAAAATATCTCGTTTTTGGGAAAAAAAACAAAAACTGCAATGTAAGAGTAGACTAATAATATGTAAAACCTAAGAATTTGGTTTTTGGTCATCTGAACACGGGCGGAGCCGCGGGCAATGCTAGTCCTATATAAATATTATAAATGCGAAAGTTTTAATGGACGTATTTTTATTACTCAATCACACCAAAACGGCTGAACAGATCTGGATGAAATTTGGCACGGAGATAGGTTATAGTCTGAAATTATAGCACATGGGTTATTATTTCCATCAGGAAAATGTACGGTTCCCGTGGGATAGGTTTGTTTTTTTTCACAGAGCAAGGGATCGACTATCTATTCCATGCTAACCGTTAAAACGTACTTAGGGACGAACCCGAGAGAAGTAGGATGAATCGCTAGTTTAAATATAGTTCTCATTCATCTGTGTTCTGTAACATATTTAAATAATATTTTAATTTTTCCTGAAACTTGTGTTTTTTAGTAAAATATCTGTAAATACTTCAATCTCGTTTCTTAGAAATAGGGAATATTATAACGATGCAAATCGTTTAGTTTAAAACATATTTCATTATCTTTACATTGTCTGTACTTATCTGGCGTTTTACAAAAATAAAAATATAGTGAAGAATTTGTCATGCAATAATTTAAAATTTGATCTAAATATTATAATATCTTTAGATCTCATCAGTGTAATAATGTTTTATGTAATATATTGACTATTCTGAAATTTGAGGTCTTCTTTAGCATGCGACGATCGCAATGAAGTAAAATAAAATACATATCACCTTATTATAAGAAGTAATTTATAATTATTAATTATTAGTATAATATAAAAATTGATAAATGTAATGGAATTATTGTAATGTTTATTAAATTGTCTACGATTCGTGTATGTCGGGTATATGTTGAGTACGTGTTTGTATCTCCGTGCAATATCTAGCCGTGCAATGGACATAAACACATATTTTAAAACTTCCGCATTGTTTCGGTAAATATTCAAATACTTAACATATATTGATATATTTGGCAAGATTTTATTGATTCTTAAAATCTTTTTCATTACTGATTTGTATAATGCATCTTTATAAATACAACAAATTGATATATTATTTATGCATAGGTTATATTAAAAATATAATTAAAAAACACAACATATGACATATTATGCACTCAACACGTCAACAGTTTATTTTCAAATATTTGAAAGTTTTTTTTTTGGATAATATTCTTTCGATATATAATTATTATTGCGTGGTTCCACACAATATTTTTCAAACAAATATTTGTTGTGTCATTTTCTATTAGTAATGGCAAGATGTACGATTTGCATTAGTACAGTAAGTGTACAAATATACATATAGTACCTATGTACAATTAATATAATGAAAACGTGCTCTTACGCTCTATATTCGGGAGTTATAGTGAGGCGCAAACGTTCGTGATAGGCGCAATAATTGTGTGTTGTGTATGTAAGGTTATATTATAGTCTATTACACGACGAGGTTGTTGGTGCGGAATATCTATATTTTTTCAATGGAGTTTGTACAAATCACACCGTGTTGTTAGACTGTTCCACTCTGGGTGTGTTATAGTATTCAGTAAAATGAAAATTTCATACGAAAATGTGCTTTATTATCACAATAATAGGTAACAGGTATATAGTAAGTTTGTGAGGATATACCCACTTTGGCCTAGAGACAGGAATTGATTTCATTTGCAGCTGATTCTCCCATAAATCTCAGCTGAATTCTACGCACTAATACGCACATGAGTACAAATAGGATTCTTGCCAAAGTAGCGTAATGTAATGACTGTTAAAAGTAGATTTCCTGGATGGCTATGTGATGTAATTGTATTATGTACCTAGTTAATCACACCGTCATTTTTAATAGTATCGTCTTAATTTAATGTACACGTAAGTTTTGTTCCGAGAGGCCTGCAATAGTATCGATGAGTTCTGAGACCAAGAATTGTGCTTGTAACTTAAGAAATCTTCCCTCAATAAAATTTCAGGTGCAGGGGAATATAAAACAGATCACTTGAGCCGAACACCGAATAGCCGTGAACACTGTAGATTTTACAGTACTACTAGTGTACTCACTGTACATAGTATATTTTCGATCCGTTTT